AACAACCCATTCTCCATATATTCCAAGTAGGATTTTCTACATGTTAAATACTTATTATATATTTTAAAGGATAAAAACATAGCATTATTTTTGTTATCATTTGGCACATTTTTGTTAGAATCTTAATCACCTAAGACTCTTTCCCAGTTCCTCTTCCTGTACATTAGCATGATGAATACAACATAACCATATTTAGAAACCAGACTGTATATATACTTTTCTGAATAATTCCATAAAAGAAAACAAATTGGACAAGTTATTTAACTTTTAAGAACTCTCATCTATAAAATGTCAATACCACCTATTGTATATGGTGATATACGAGTAAAAATAAACAGTGTGAAAGTACCTAGCATAGGAAAGGTTCAATTAACATTTATGAAAAATAATTGAGATGTCTAGGAACTTTTACAAAATAATAAAATGCATTTAAACTGTTTTGAAGCCTGTAACTTTCTTTACAATTATATGCTTGACTGGTACAGTGTCTCATCACAGTGTCTTATCTCTTTTAGTTTATTGCTTGCCTTGCTCCTTTCACTGAATTGGTATATCTGACCTAATGCAGGCCTTTTAGATTATTTAGAAACCACTACCTTTTCTGTACTCTTACCTGCTTCAGAGACTGGTGGAGAATCCAAACATTCAAAGACATGCCATCGAGGTGTTTGACCTAGCAATGAGGAAAAAGGCATCTGGCAGTTTGGGCAGTATCCATCATAAACTGGACGTATCTTTGGAGACACGTGTTTGTTTTTGTGAGTTCTACACAACCTTCCTGGAGTGGTCTCCTTGTCTTGAGACTGTTGACTACCATCTCCACAACTTGAACTCTGACTGGAAGCTACAGAAGCCTGACAAAGTGCTGCTCTAGGGGACACCTCATGGTCCTTTACCTCCTCTTTAGCTTCTATGGTTCTTTTTCTGCTTCTCTTTCGTTTTGACTGGTATTTTCCCTCTTTTGCTTTTCCAACAGGTTTTGGAATATTTTCAGAGCAATTATTTGGGTCAACTACTTTTGGTTTTCTTTTAGATTTGTATTCCCAAATGTCTTCTTCTGAAAGAGTGTCTTCTAACATGGCAAAATGATTTTATCATTAGAGGAGTTAATCTTAAGTAAATTGAGAGTTCATTTCTTGCTACAAAATTTCTAAATGGAATTATTTTTGCTGAGAGAAAAAGAAAAGTAATAAAAAACACCCACTAACTGGATGGGAATCTACAGTTCTGGTAATAAATATATTGGCAAGCTGCAAACCTCATACCTGAGCACCTGCTGTTCCACTCATACCACAACAAAATTAAGACAACCTATCACAGGGGTGAAATTTTTGATTGTGGCTATTTCATTCAGGGATCTCAGCCTTTTCCAGGACTCAATTCATAAAAAGTATAATCAGAAATACTTTGAAAATTAGGCACTAATGGGAAAAATAAGTTCAGCCGCTTATTCTTTGAATGAGCTTTGTAAAACTGTTATGAAGCTATTTTCAGTTCTCTTTTAAGTGGACAATTGTCCACATAATTCACAAATCCAACCACAGTCCCCGGGCACGTGGCTCAGGAGGAATTCCCAACACTAAATGGCGACCTCAATTTAGCAGTAAAACTAGTCAAAGAGGTGTGTAATTCGCAAAAAAAAAAAGAAAAAAAAAGTAATTGCCCTTATCCATGACTCCTGGATATTCAACAACTTCAGTTTCCTGGGTCAGTCCATCATCTTCCTCCAGCAGCAATGAATAAACCCTACACGGTGAACAAAAAAAGTTCGAATATATGAAATGATGCTTGTTCTGAGGTCACACGCCTTACTGCAGACCACAGAGGTGATTTGTCCTTAAGGTGGCTAGCCCTCTCTTCTCTAGCCTCAAAACCGAAGTCGCTTGCCGGGTGCCTGCCACCGCCGCTACCTTCTCTTTTCGCTTTAGAGGCTGCAAGGCCAGCGAGTAGGGCCTTACCCTCTCCAGGTTAAGCACAGTCAGCTCCAAAAAAGCCGCCAGCGCCTCCCCTTCTAAAGACTCTGAGGCCCGCCCTCAGGGACCCTCGCGGCCGCCCACCTGCCACCCGCGCCCCCGAAGGAGCAGCTCCAGCTGCATCCGCTCCCCTCACAACCCCCACCCCTGGCTCGGCTAACAACCTATTCGCGCCCGCACTTTCAGCACTCCCCGAGTGACAAAACGCTGTTATTTGTGTGCAAGTTGTAGCCACCGGCCAGTCACTCCCAACTTAAATAAGCCTTCTCCCCTGAGGATAGCCCTACCCCTCCCTTTACCTTTAGTGTCTTGGCGGGAACGTCTTCCCGCTGCCAGTGCCGTGTCGAATCGGCGGATTCCGGTCTAAGAGCGTGACTTTAAAAATAATTTTCTTTAAATAGCGTGCCCTTTTAAGTCCTACGGATTTATTTTATTCTATTTCATTTTTGTTCTAAAGCGCGGTAATTTTCAAAGTGGGGGGGGGAATGGTTTCCTTAGCGCTTCTGGGACGCAGTCCCGGAGGCCTGTCCCATGTTGAATCTGGCGCTCTCAATGTCCAGGCTCAGCCGCGGCGAGGGAACCCTGGAAGGGCGGGGTGGGTTGGGGCGGTAGTTTAATTACGTGCCCAGGAATTGCGACGGTTCGGACTCTGGCTTTTGGGCGTATTTAAAAAAGGAAAAAGTGCCGCTGCCGTGGAGTGGGGCTGGTGGACGGTGAGGTGAATGTGCCGATTTGAAACCCAAGGACAGTAAACGTTCCGTCTCCCCCAGCGAAGCTCTCCCGCGGGCCCGGCGGTCGCCTCCGGAGCCCGCAGAGAACATGGCGGCGCCCAGAGCCCGGGGCTGCGGCCTGTCGGGCCTGCTCCCGGCGCAGACCTCGCTGGAGTACGCCCTGCTCGACGCCGTCACCCAGCAGGAGAAGGACAGCTTGGTTTACCAGTATGTGCAGAAGGTAGACAGCTGGGAACAGGACTTGTCTGTGCCCGACTTTCCGGAAGGTGAGGGGCTGGCTTCGGGGTGGGGAGCCCTCCTGGGACCTCCCCTTCCTCGGGGACGGCGCCCTCCCCTGAATCGGTGGGCGAGGCGGGGTTGTGTCGCCAGTGCGGGGCCTTCGCCTGACCGGAGTCGCGGCTCCCGCGCTCTGCAATTCCCAGGTGTCCTCAAGTGGCGACTGACGGTGGGTTTCTGGAGAGCGGGGACCTGCATATTTGTTCCGTATCTTGAGTCCTGCTCGGGCCTGATGGTAACTAAGTAAACATTTTGTAAATGTTTTAGTGGCCCTGGTTGGCAATGATTGAAACGTCCACGCAGCCCTCTCCTTTCAGTTTGGCTCCCCAGCGTCGTCGTCGTCATCTTTTTGCATCATCTTACTTGACATCTGTTGATAACTTTTTATGTGCCACACACAGTTCTAAACACTTCAAGAGATATTATCTTATTTAATCCTCTCAACAACCCAGTGAGGTGCTCTTATTATTCCCATTTTACATTTGAGGAAACTGAGGCACAGGGTGATTAAGTAACTTCCCCGGGGCTTCACAGCCAATAACTGCTAGAGTTGGATTATACAGACCCTAGATTTCCTGATTTCTTAGCTGTGCTGCACTTCTCTGTTCAAAGTCGTGAAACTTCTAATTTTGAAAATCTGGATCAGTTATAACCTATCTCCTTGAATCCCAGCTGTGTGAGCGTTTGGAATGTGAGGGAATAGATATTCCCAGCAGGGCTGTTGGTGAAGCACATCTTGCCACGATAAATGAAAATGTATTATATTATGCCTTCTCTGGATGGGAGTGGCTTTGTTTTGCCTGGTGGTGTTGGCATGTGTCCTGGCATGTGAAACCACATGTATAGTTAATTGGTTGGATATGGCAGGGTTCAGTTATCTCATGGGAGGTAAATTGGAACCTGGCTGTGACAACAGAGTCTTGGGTGTCTTTCCAAGCCTTTTACACCTGCCTTGAGAAGTGCTTATTTTTTCCATTATTAATCTTACACTGGATTTGAAATATTGTGGAATTCTTACAAAAGAATTGGGTTCATGAATGGTTATCCCATCAAAAAACTTTAAAATATTTTGTACATATATACAAATATATAAGTTTTTTAAAAGTTTTGCAAGAAGGTAGTTAAATATTAATCTTACACTGGATTTGAAATATTGTGGAATTCTTACAAAAGAATTGGGTTCATGAATGGTTATCCCATCAAAACACTTTAAAATATTTTGTACATATATACAAATATATAAGTTTTTTAAAAGTTTTGCAAGAAGGTAGTTAAATAGTAAATACACTGTTAGAAACAAGCAGGCCATCAACTAGCATTTGGAGGAAGTGTTTTTATTTTCTAGTGGTTGTGTTTGTAGTGAGTGTATTTTATTACAGTGAGATGTGACCTCTGTGACTTGTAAGTAATACACATAGTAAAATACTCAGGCTTTGTATTTGACATAGTCTGATTTTCTACTGGACCCGATTATTGAGGACAGAATGCTAAAAATGAGTATTTTCTTGGTTTCTTTACCAGTAAGCTATAATCAAGAAGTCACAAACATATAACTTTATCTCAAAACCTGTATGCTTTGTTCATTTCTTAGAAGAAACACATGTTTACAGGAGGCAGTGCAGTATAATGTGTAGATTCAGACCTGGAATTTAATCCCTGTTATTCCATTTGTTGGCTGTGTGATTCTGAGCAAGTTACTTTACTTCTCCAGCCCTACTTTTCTTGCTTGTAAAATGGAACTAGTGTTTACCTTTCAGGGTTACTGTGTGGTTTGGAGGTAATATATGTAAAATTCTTAATTCA